AGTGGGGAGCACCAGGAGCAGCGTGGGCCTGGCCAGGAGTTCCATCAGAGCACACTGAGTTTGTGTCTCAAGGAGAACGGCAACAGGCAATGACAACACTCCTGGGCAGAAGAGAAGTTTTCCCCCAGCATTATTCTGGAGGGCAGAATGAATGTTTTGAGGACTTTGGCATCACTCAAGAATACTTAAAGCCCCTTTGTTTTACAGCAGGTCCTTTGACAAAGGCACAGGCACTCAGCATTCAGGCCACGGCGTCCTGTAAGTGTTGTCTGCATTCGCCAAGGTCAGATTGAATCCTTGCCTCTAACCATGGGAAAAAAGAGACAAGACAGTGGAGTTTTGGGGAAGAAATAGAGGAGAATGTGCATAAATGTCACCTGCAGCTTGTTTGGCTTGTGGCTTTCTTTCACTGGAAGCCTGTGGAACTCCCAGCTTTCCACTTTCCCCTGCTGCTTTTTGTTTGTTAAGTTTGGTGCTACGGCTAGATTGAGATAAAAAGCAGAAAGCACCCAAAACCTCTAAATTTCTGTGAGGTCCTGTAGACTTTCATAACACAAGTGCTGTAGCATTCTCCCACCTGCCAGGCAAGGTTAATGGATGTAGCAGTTGGACCTTTTGATATCTTCTGAATTCACAGCAAGCCCCAAGCTCTGGGAGCCAGAATCACATTGTGCTGTCTCTGTTGGGTCACTCTGGTTTCAGAAGTTAATTACAATTTTATTTTTCTTTCTTGCACAGTTCTATTCTAGGAGCATGTCCTGTACAAAATATAATTTTCAGTTTCTCTTTTTCTCATCCCTGATATAAACTAGGGACAAAAAGGAAGGCACTACCGGTGGGAATTTAGTCACTTTATGTATTTGTGAATTAAAATAGAAATATAATGTGCTAATAATCCTGAGTTGTTGCCAGGGTAAAAAAGTAGTGGAAACACTATTTTCTGTGCTTGTTCATGTTTTCTCAAGTGTTTAGAGACCCAAAATGTACCAAATTATGGTATGAAATTGCCATACTTGAAATATTACTCAGTACATTCACAGAATCCCAGAATAGTTTGGGTGGGAAAAAGCCCATCCCTGGGCAGGGACACCTTCCCCTGTCCCAGGTGCTCCGGCCCCAGTGTCCAGCCTGGCCTTGGGCACTGCCAGGGATCCAGGGGCAGCCACAGCTGCTCTGGGCACCTGTGCCAGGGCCTCACACCGTGCCAGGGAACAATTCCTAATTGCCAAGATCCCAGCCCATTCTGCCCTTTGCCAGTGGGAGCCATTCCCTGTGTGCTGTCCCTTGTCCCCAGTCCCTCTGCAGCTCTCCTGGAGCCCCCCCAGGCCCTGCAAGGTCTCCCCAAAGCCTTTTGCAACAAACCCAACTATTACATTTTCAGTTCTTTCGTTCATTTTAGATTAGGGGTGCTAATATTATGTATAATATTGGAAATTATTTGAATTTGGAGAAGCTGTTGTCCTAATCCCATTGTGGTGAATAGTTTGGCTTCCTATAGAATATCAGTAATTTCCAGCAAAAGTGGAAAGAGTTATGCTGTGCTGAATTATCTGTACATCTGTTTATTACAGTTAAATGGGAGGTGTTATTCAAATTTAATTCTTGCTGGATTTAACAAAAAATTTCTACATAATTTCTTATTTAGCTGTGGACTGATTTTTCTTAGTGGTATGTGAAACTCATTTGTTTTTAAAGAGTTCAGAACACTTGCAGATCACAAGATGGGAGGTTTAAATAATTTTAGGTATTGTTGCATGTATAGGTTTAAGGTGAACTTAGGTCTTAGTTGGCCTGCTTTAATACGAAATAGTTATCTCAAATTATTTTCAGATTTCTTTTCTCTTGAAGAACAAACTCTGGTGCTTATGCAAACCAAGTCTTGGTATGTAATTGTTCTAGATTTTCAAAATTTCTGTCAGCCACAGGCTGTGGTTTAGCTAAAGTAATATTTTGAGTTTGAAACACCAACTGTTACTGAAATGTCTGTTGGGTTCAAATATACTTTTCCTTTGCTTCTGTTATTTTGTGGCCAAGTCATTTGCCATTAACTCCTTTGAAATTTGTGTGTACTGATTTCAAAGCCAGTGCAATTTTTAGATGTTGGCTAGTTAAAGGAAGCCAAATTTTCTTCTTGGCTTCATATTTTATGCAAATCATATGATAAAAAATGTAAAGCTCTTCATAATAAATTTTTGTTAGTCCATGCAGCCAGCTACTTCTGGTTCTCTGGAAAGCAGGTGGATTATTTTAGTACTTCAAACCATGTGGCAACAGGAAAGGCAGGACAGGCGGTTGTGCTCTCCAGGGTACCTTTCCAGATAAGATAAACACCAGCTTTGTCACTTCTGTGGAATTACCATGGTTAAGTGTGAGAACAGGGTGTGAAACCTCTTGGATGGCTTGGGAAGGGTCCGGGAGCTGCTCCATGGAAAAGGACCTGGGGTGCTGCTGAGGAGGACTCCAGGTGTGCCCAGGAGAGGTTTTAGGTGGATGTTAGGTGGATATTTCCAGAGAGGGCTGGAGTCCCCAGTCCAGTCCTCCCCCTGCAGGGATTTCACAGCCCTGTGGATGTGGCAGTGCTGGGGATGGTGGCACTGGATGGGCCCTAAATCCAAACAATTCTGGGAATCTGTGATGTGCAGGTGGGGATTTGATGGTGCAGCTGAGTTCAGGTTCTGCCCTGTACCTGGGGGAGCCTTTCCAGGTCCCCATCACGAGCCCCACGGAGCTTTCCTGCACTTAAGCTGCTTCAGGCTTTGGTACAGAATTCATTTTTTGAGAACGGATAAATGAATCTTCTACTGTCAGCTAAACTTAATTAAAAACCCGGCCTGCTAAGAAATTGGTGCCATATTTTTCACGGATCCAGAATGAACAGGCTACTTTCAACAGCTATTTCCAACCAAACTTTCAATGTAACTGAATTAATTAAGTCCTGGGAACAGATTATATTAGGGGAAATTAAGCTCTAAGTAAGCAAACCATTAACAATTATGAGACCAAATTGCCTGTGACACAGATTGGTCAGGTTTGATGGCACAAAGTGTTTTCAGCTTGTGAGGAATAAATTGTAGAAACAACCTGGTTTTTTTAATCCTTGTATGAGGTACAGGTCCTCAGCTGGGCTTTATAGGAGAAGAACTCCAACAGGTAGAGAAAATAATCACCACTGGTAAAGCATTTGTAAGGCTTCTGTGTGAAATAAACCTACATTATTTTTTGTTTGTTTGTTTTTGTATTTGTTTCTTGCAGTTGTTACCAAAAAATGAGAAGCCCTTCTCTGGTAACAGTCTCATTAATCTTTAATAGAATCACTCTTATTTTAAAAATAATAGTTTCTTGTTTCTTCTAATGGGAGCAAGTTTTGGTTTCCATCATTGAAACTGATCCTGATGGTCATCCACCAGGGACTGGCCTGTCAATGATTCCTTTGTGCTTTTAATTTTCTTTTTTTTACTAAAGGATTGTTGATACATAACAAGGGCTTTATTTTGAAATGCGTCTCTTATAGTCACTCAGCATCATGGTTATTCTCAGAAATAATATGAAAAGTTGGGTTTTTTTATACTGGCTGTGTTACATGTTTGTATTTTGTGGTGAGATATTTCAGTAAGCATTATCTTTGCCTTAAAGGCATTCCAGAATATTACGTTTATTCCAGAATATCCATTTATGCAAATACTGTACCACTTTAGTTACTAGGCACTGATTTTTTACACAAAAAGTGAAATCTTGCTCACTGTCTTTTAATAATCAGGAGACTATTGGGAAGCACTTCAGAAGCAAAAATCAACAAGAAACTCTGTGTTTTCTTGTCTTGTATAGGCAGGACTGTTGATGTTGCAGCATCTGCTGTGCAGGTTTGGAGTTCACTTTCCAGCCACACAGTGGTTGTGAACTGCAAAGGAACTCTCAACTTCAAAATATTTCAATTCATAAGAAAACTATTTGGGGCAGCTTCTGTACCAAGTTACAATGGATATTTAAAGCAAATATGACCACAGAAAAATGTTCCAGAACAACAGAAACCCAAGCAATTACTCACTTTACACCTATTCATAAATTCTGGGATGTGGCTATTGCTGGGAGGAGGGATTTATGTTTATGCTAATGTTGCCATAAGTACTGTTTATTAAGGGAGAAAAACAACAAATGACACCAGAAATGGATTTAATATCCGTGACAAGCTAAGCTTTTTGTCAGTGCAGATTTCACTTTAATTCTGAATACATTCTGTTACTTCATGAAAGAGTTAATAGCTGTTGTGGTGCTGAGAGATTGATAGGCAGAGGAAATAGGAGGTACCTGGAAAGAGCTTCTGATCCCTAATATTGCACAAGTTGCTTTTCTCTTGGCTCGCCTCCCCTCCTCGTTGTTATTTTTACCCAGGCTCCCTAATCTTCCCTTTTGCCTCTAACCACCTCCCAGTTTCCTGTTGGCCTCTTCCCTCTGGTTTTGTCCCAAATGTTCTGGTGTTTTTCCTGCTCTGCCTGGGATTGCAGGGCAGTGAGCTAAGATGAATGCCATAGCTGTTTTCACAGTTTCTATCATCTTCTGTGTTTCGTGCCTCTTTGCAGCTCTTGGTGTAAGTTCCTTTTTCGAGGAGGTTTTGTTGTCTGGATATTGTTTGAAATGTAAATATTAAATTTTGGGCTGCTGTGTAAACAATAATTAAAGATTTTCACTTTTCATTAAAGATTATTTGCAGCTCTGTGAAATCTCTGTTCTAAGTTTTTGAAGCACTGTTTTCTTCAATGTGCACTGAAGAATATTTCTTGGAACATGGCTGGGAGACAGAGTTGCTTGTTCAGCTTCATTTCTGGGATATACATTTTCAAAACAATATGAAAATTCCGTTCTTTTTCAAAAGCAGTGTTGAAAAATATGAATTGATCTGAGTAAAGGTGCTTTTCATTGTAATTTTAAATCCTTTTTACATATCTTGAAATATGAATATTCTTTCCAGTAAGTAACAGAAAGCATTTGCTTTTCTTTTGCAGATTGCATTCTCACAGCACAGCAACTTTATGGACCTGGTGCAGTTCTTTGTGACATTTTTCAGGTACTTTTCATTTAAGACAGCTAAATGTTACTTCTTTAGGTTCTGGGCTTCCGAATTTGGGTTCTTCTTGGTCTGTTTTTTTTAACTTAAACATCCTGCTTACAGCACAGCCTAGAAAATGGAAATCTCCACTCTGATTTAAATATTTAATTAGGAATTATGTTAAGAAAATTAATTGTCTGCACATCTTTGTGTGATGCCAGTGCATGCAGGGAAAGGAAGGATGGGGCTGGGAGAGGCTTTTGGAAAAGGAGAAGTTCCTTTGGAGAGGATGTAGAAAACATTGACTTGCCACAAATGTGTGTGACTTAGTGCAGGTTGTCATAAAGTAGGGGAGTTATTTTGCAAAGAGTTAAGTCTGGTGTAATTTCCAGCTCTTTAGGTACCACCTTTTGATTTTAAACTGAACTCTGAAAGTATGTGAATTTAAATACAAGCATATGTTGCAGTTCAATAGAAGCCAAATACTTCTGGTTTTCACACACAGCTCTAAGTTCATTTCTTAGTGCCAAGTGAGCTGATGATTCCCTCAGAGTGGGAACTAACAAAAACCATTCCAATGGTCTCCTCTTTATTCCTCCAAAAAATACAGGCCTAACAAAGAGGTGAAAGTGTTCCAAAGCACAGCAGGCCCTCTCTTCAAAGCTTCAGAATCCAGTGTATTGGCCTCTGTTTTCGGGACTGCTGATACTCCAGAAGTGTAAACCAATACCTGATTGATAAGGAGTCCTACAGGAGGGATATACATGGAGTAAACACTGCCCCAGGTCTTACAGCCTGTTCTAAAGTAGGCAATATTATGCCTGGTATAAAATGAGCAGTGAGAATAATATCTTGCTTTAGATTTCATGCTAAATTTAATTAAAGCAAGAAGCTCCAGACAGATCCTTCAGACAAGTGGTTTATATCAATTTTTTTTCATATGGAGCTTTTAGAGAGTAGAATCTGCTTTAGTGCAGTCCCTGGGAATCAGTGGGTTTGAACCACCACCCTCCTGCCATTGGAGCAGAGGTGGTTGTTACTCCTGGCTCAGACTTAACAATTTGTTTTGCTGAATTAATCACAGCCAACATCTTCCCTAAAAATCTTTGTGGCAGGGTAATTGCTTATTAGGAAAATGAAGAGGGAAGCAGTTGGTTCCTTAGTTCTTTTCTAATTGTATAAGATAAATCTGCACTACAAAACCTGTCCATTAGTGCTTTACAGACCCAACTACATCTGCACATGAGGGTTTAAACTCCTCAGGATGAGGAATTGCTCCAGATTACTTATTGGAAGAAATTCCTAGAGCAGCTGTGGCTGCCCCTGGATCCCTGGCGGTGCCCAAGGCCAGGTTGGACACTGGGGCTGGAAGCACCTGGGACAGTGGGAGGTGTCCCTGCCATGGCAGGGTGGCACTGGGTGGGATTTAAGGTCCCTTCCAACCCAAATCCTCCCATGATTCCAGTTCCAGGCTAAAGCAGAAGGTAAGTGCACTGTGTGCTTCAGTGAGCACATGCAGCTGAACATACATGTCCAAAGGCTGCAAGTTTCCTTTCCTCCATCACTGTTATCACATGGATCTCCTTGAGAAGTAATGTTGCAATATTATTTAACATTCTAACAAGCCAGAGGAATAAGAGCATGTGGATTTGGGAGAAGACAGTTTACTGGTGTTTCCAGTTAAGCATTTATAATGTGCTAGAAATTCTTTGGTTCTTTCACTACTCCTAAGCTTCTCTCCAGGTGTTTTATTTTACAGTCACCATAACTCCCTAATTAACCAGTGGATTAGAACAGTGTGATTCATCTCACTGGATGTAGGGGAAACTATTGAAACATTTGCATTTTTAATGCTCTAGGGCACATTTCACAATTACTGTGGGATCCAAGGCAGACCATAAATAAGTAATACCTGAGAGCCCCCTGTACTGTTAATAAGCAACAGCTGGCTGAGAATTTGCTCCCTAAAATAGAGGCAGGGAAAATGCTTTGTGAAAACCTAAAACCAGTTGGTATCGTTAACACCAAACTCAAAATCTGGGATATGTATCAATTTCTTAGGTGTAATGGAGACCTGAAGAGATGTTGTTCTGGAAAATAGATGTTTAGATGCTTTCTGTTTGCACATTTAAGGGTGTTGCTTCATTTTGATGTTCTGCAGGAAATGCATGAATTGCCCAGAGCAGCTGTGGCTGCCCCATCCCTGGCAGTGCCCAAGGCCAGGATGGATGGGGCTTGGAGCAGCCTGGGACAGTGGAAGGTGTCCCTGCCCATGGCAGTGGGGTTGGAACAAGGTGATTTTTAAGATCACTTCCAACCCAAACCATTCTGTGAGTCTATGAATTTGGGAAATCTTTCTGAGCTGGAGATGCTGTAGCACATTTCTGTATTCTGGAAGCCACTTGCCCCGCTTGGTTGCAAGTCCATCCTAACTGTGCTTTTCTGCTGTGCAGCTGGAGGCATCATCTCTGCCTTGGGCTGTGTGGAGCACCTGGAAGGGACTCTGAGGGGTTTTCAATTTCACTGCTGACATTTGAGATTAATTAGGTCAGTGCAGTCCTTGCAGAGTGCTGTGGGCTTGCCAAACCCCAGCACTGCTGAGTTTTGGTATCCCAGACACTGGCTGGGCTGCCTGTGGGGTGCACAGGGGCATGGAAAAGCAGGAGCCTGGTCCTGCATTCCAACAGCAGCAGGCAGTGTGGAGCAGGACGCAGGGCTGGTTTGCATTTCATGTAGAGCTGGCTGCTGTGATCAGAGGGCTGTGCCTCGCATTTAGAGGGGCTGTTGGATTCCTGGAGTTCAGCACCAAGCCAGGCAGGGGGCTGTGTATGACCCTTAGTTTGTACACATGAATGTGTTATTTTAAGCTAAGAAAATGTCAGTGGATAAAGGTTGGGTAGAACGGTGAAGTTCCAAGGTCGTTAATATTGCATTATAATCAGAGCCAGAGGAGAAATTATATTCCAACCATTATTAACCTTTGCAAAGCTAATGAACTGCAAGGAAACTGGTTTTCTCTTTCCTCCTCTCTGCTCTTCATAACACAGCTCTTTAATTTACAGATTGTGCAGCTGTCTTTCAGTACATAGTTTGACAATTTCTAGTGAACATTTTTTATTCATATCTGTGCTTACTTATCTTCCAAAAAATAGCCAGCACACCTGTCATAGGTATTAATCACCAGTGTACCTTTATGTACAGAAGATGTAAAAATATTTGTGGCCTTGTAAGCACATATTACTGCCCAATAATCCTTCCCCCTTTTTCTTTCCACCTTTTTCTTTCTCTTCCCTTCTTCCATTCTTCCCTTTTCCTTTTCTTCCTTTCAACCTTCAGCCTAGACAGCACTTGAGAGACCTGATTGGGATCTCTACATCCTTAAAAGGGGTTCAAAGGAAGATGGGGATGGACATTTAAGTGGGACCTGTAGTGATGGAACAAAGGGTGATGACTTTAAATTGAAAGAAGGTCTATTAAGACTAGATGAGGGAAGAAATTTTTATGGTGAGGGTGGTGAGACACTGGAGTAGGCTTCCCAGAGAAGGGTGGATACCCCATCATTGAAACATTCCACTCCAGGCTGGACAGGGCCCTGAGCAGTCTGACCTGGTTGAAGATGTTCCTGCTCACAGCAGAGGGCTTGGCCTAGATGGCCTTTTAAGGTCCCCAAGCCAAACCACTCCATGATTCCATTCTGTGATCTCATCCTGAGCTTTACTACATGGATTTACCACATACCTCAGGTGTCCTCTGCTGCACTTTTCTGCTGGGTCTCACATGCACAGCTCATTTTGTTTCTTGCCTGCTGTTTGTCTTGGCTTCATTATCTGTCCTTGAAACACCCTTCTAAGGGAGTCCAGTGTCTGCTCCAGTCCAGGGGGAGGTGTTGCTGCCCATGGCAGGGTGGTTGAAGCTGGATAAGGTCCCTCCCAGGCCAAAGCAGTGTGTGATTCCATGATCCAACATGTCCCACTGGAGCCTTACAATGATTGTTAGAGAAATGGGTGTTATTTCACAAATGGAACAAAAGCTGCCAGTTTAGTGTTTTTGTGGTGGCACATCAAACCTCATGTGCCCCTATTAGGGTCTGAATATCAAATGGAAATGGTGTTGTTTTAGTTTGATACAAATAATTGGACTTGTTCCTCAGAAAAACTTGAGTAGGAGCACTGTTTGTTCAGTACAAGACTCAGGCAGATGATTTTATGTGTTGTATATGGTTTTCCCTGACTATCTGTATTTTCCCAGTGTTTTCATTAAGTGGGAATGGCCTCCTGCAGTAATTCAAATCTGTAGTTATGATGCAGATATTTTATTTACTCTTGTTGCTTATTAAATAATTTTTATTGCAGCACAGTGGCATTACTAAATATGTGCTTAAAATACAGTCTCAGTCCCCTTTGGTTTTTTTTTAGAAAAAGGAAAAGCTTGGAAATATCTTCACATGATTTCTAACAAAATGAAGGAGGTTATCAGTTCAGCATCCATAACTTCCTTCTTTCCATGTTCTCAGCACTCTTTACTTCATCCTCCATAATCGTAGAATAGAACCATAAGATCACTGAGGTTGGAAAAGCCTTCGGATCAGTGAGTTCAAGCACCCCCAGCACTGCCACCACTGCCCCATGTCCCCAAGTGCCACAGCCACAGGGCTCTGAAATCCCCCCAGGGATGGGCACTCCACCCTGCCCTTTCCATGAGGAATTTCCCAGTGCCCACCCTGAGGCCGTTCCCTCTGCTCCTGTCCCTGTTCCCTGGAGCAGAGCCCGACCCCCCGGCTGTCCCCTCCTGGCAGGAGCTGGGGCTTGCTGTCCTGGTTTTGGCTGGGATAGAGTTAATTTCTTCTCAGGAGCTGTTTTAGTACTGTGTTTTGGGTTCAGAGTTAGAATAATGTTGATAATACACCAATGGGTGTTGCTATTTAGGTTTGGCTAAGTTGTGTTTCTCAGAAGTTTGTTGGTTTCGGATTTTTTCTCTTGATCTGCCAGTGAGGAGTTACTCAAACTGGGAGGGATCATAGCTGGGGCAGGTGAGCCCAACTGGCCAAATGGATATTCCCCAGCTCAGAGCATCATGCCCAGTGTGTAAACTGGGGGAGTTACCTGCAGGGGTGTGATCTGGGAAGAGGGGCTGGCACTGGTCAGCAGGTGCTGGGCAGTTTTATTGTGCATCAGCTCTTTGGTTGGTTTCTTTCATTTCTCTTTTCAATATCATTATTTTTATTAGCTACTTATTGTATTTTGTTTTCCATTATTAAACTGTTCTTCTCTCAGCCTACAAATTTTACATCTGATTCTCCTCCCCACGCCACCAGGGTGGGGGAGAAGAGAAAGGGTTTGAGTGGATTTGCAGTGCTTAATTTCCACCTGGGTTTAACTGTTTAACCCTGCCCTGTACCCCAGCCCCTTCCCTGCCTCCACTGCCCTCCTCTGCCATAACAAAGGTGAGCTGTGGCTTGTTGAGCCTTGTGCCAACTTCAGCAGAAGGATGAGGTCAGGAATCCGGCTTGGTGGGCTGCAGGCAGCTGTTTGGCAGAGCCCAACCAACCACATGCATGTTATACACTTGTTCCAATTATTGCAGGGATTAATGCATCCAGTACTTTAAAATGGGTCCTGTAGCTCTCCAGCATATTAAAATTTACTTGTAAATAGCACTTAAATAGCTTCTAATTCATCAAAATAACTTGGGCTGTGTTTCTAGTAATCACGGCAGTGCTTTTTGAAATTACTAAGTGACCTGTATATGTTAAAGCACATTAGCACTGAGGCTGCTGTACATTTTGGTGTTTAAAGCTGCCATTTTTTACAAGCAATTCTGATGTGGATAAACATTTCACGAGGGTTTAATAATTGGGCCCTAATACACCAGATGGATTTTCTTCTCCCTTCCTGAGAATGCATCACAGTAAAGCACTGATGGAGTTTTCCAGACATCTAAAAATGAAAGTGTACTTGTTTGAAAAGCTTTAAGGATACCAGGAGTCGAGGGAATATTCTCTCTGTGGTGAAAAGGAGATTAAAGTCCAGAATAAAACCAGACAGTATGTTTAAGTTCAGGTTTTTGTGTCACTGTGGGAATACCCTGTGGTATCCTGAAGGCTAATCAGCTGAAGTTTCATGTGTGTGTTGAAGCCAGCTGAGGAGAGATTATTTATAACCACATTGCTCATTTATTGTGCTTAAATAATCTAATGAATAATTAAGAATGAATTAATAAAGCTATTTGCCAAATAGACTTTTGTCCATAAAATTTAAATGTATCTCTTCCCTGCATTGCAATATTCATGCTGTGTAAGCACTAATTTTTATAACTGTGTGAGGCACTGGCAGCTCTGCTTGGCAGAACCTGGCTGAAATGCAGTCTTGTTCAAATTTCCCTGGGATGAAAAACTCTCCAGGGTATTAGGTGGCTCTTGAGGTTCTTTTTCCTTCCAGTCTGGTTCCACACCTGAGTTTGCTGGTTTCCTTTTTTTCTGTTGGAAAAATTTAACTGGTCTCAAACTGGATGTGTCACAGGCTATAGGAAAATGGAAATCCAACAGTTGACAGAAATACAGATTAGTTTGGGTTGGAAGGAAACGTAAAGATCACCTTGTTGCACCCCCTTTCCATGGGCAGGGACACCTCCCACTGTCCCAGGTGGATCCCAGCCCCAGTGTCCAGCCTGGCCTTGGGCACTGCCAGGGATCCAGGGGCAGCCACAGCTGCTCTGGGAATTGCAGCCCAGCCCCTGCCCACCCTCCCAGCCAGGAATTCCTTGCCAAGATCCCAGCCCAATCTCCCCTTTGCCAGTGGGAGCCATTCCCTGTGTGCTGTCCCTGCAGGCCTTGTCCCCAGTCCCTCTGCAGCTCTCCTGGAGCCCCTCCAGGCCCTGCCAGGGGCTCTGAGCTCTGCCTGGAGACATTTGAGATGGGGGAAGCTGCAGAGAGAAGATTGGGTGAAGAGTGGATTTCTGGGATGAAAGATGCTCTTGGCAGGCTGTTATTTTTTGAGAAAAAAAAGAGGAGAGGGCAAAGCAAATCCTGCAGTAAATGTTTATTTTGAAAGTCATTTGCAAGCAGGTGGATATTCATGGCAGAGATGTGTCTGAAGCTGTTGAGAGAGCAGGGCAGAGCACAGCTCTACCCAGGACTCTGCCAGCCTCAGCTCTCACTCCAAATCATTTCCCAACACCTCTCTCTCTGCATGCAGCTGCTTCTTTCTGCTGCTTCCATATCTTTCCCAGAGAAAGTTGGAAAAAACCCTTCTTCAGAGCTACTGATGCTCACATCAGGTCTTTTAATTTATTTCAGGGTGGTTTAGGCTGAGTAAACGCAACAATAGATCTTGACGTTGCTGTGCTCCTGGGGCTCTTCCAGCAGGTGATGGACTGCAGCAGGCTCTGCCTTTTATTTCTCCCCAAGTGCTTCCAAGGGGTGTTAGTTCAAGGAGGAAAATATATTTACTTAGTGATTTTATAGCTTTTTTGGGTATTTGCTGCCTCCTTGTGACAATACAAAGATGTATAGTGCTGTTCCTTTGAAATACAATGGTACTGTGGTGAGCATTTTAGGAGAAGTTTTTATTAGTCTTTAATTGTTAATCCCTCTCTGTATTTTCTCAAGAAAGTCTTGGCTGTGGTGCCAGAAATGGGCAGGAAAGGGAAACCAATTAAGCACTCTGGAATGTGCAGACTTGTGCAGTGTTGCATTTTGGAAAGGGCATCTAGTAGTAAAGGTGATTCTCAGTTCTTCACTCTAGCTTTCTTCTCCAAAGGAGTAAATAAAATGTAGGGAGACATATTTACAGTGCCACCAAAAATGTGGCATCTGGGGACATGGTTTAGTGGTGGCCTTGGCAGTACTCAGTTAATAATGGTTGGACTTGATGATCTTAGAGGTCTTTTCCAGCACAGGTTCTGTGATTCTATGAAATCGACCCAAAATAGGAGGTCCAAGAGTTTTCATTGCTTAGGTCACTTTTTTCCTAAAAAGGGGCCATCCTTACAGCAGTTCAGCATGTTTTGATGTGTGTCTTCCATTTGCTGTATTTCTGGAGCTGTCTGATAGATACACGAGACTGGAGGGTGTTGTTGTGTAAAGGTGACTGACTTCGTGGCTGAGGGTGGCACAATGCAACTTCATCTGTATGCCTGACCTCCTGAGAAACTCCTCCAGAGAAACTCCTCTGAAATGGGTAATTTAACAGAGGTGCTTGAGATGAATGGTGTTTTTGACATTGCTGGCATTTTCCTCTGCCCTTTGGATTTCCATCTTGTTTCCCCAAATAAAGGTGTACTGAGGAGGTAAACACTGATGAGCCCTGGCAGCAGCTCATGGTGCACATAAACTGCATCTGAAATCATAAAATCATGGAATGGTTTGTGTTGGAAGGGACCTTAAAGCTCATCCAGTCCCGTGGGCAGGGACATCTTCCACTGTCCCAGGTGCTCCTAGCCTCAGTGTCCAGCCTGGCCTGGGACACTGCCAGGAATCCAGGGGCAGCCACAGCAAATCTGGGCACCTGTGCCAGGGCCATGCAAGTCAAACAAGTGCACATTTTTTAATATTATATGCTGTATGATAGTGAATATGATAGATATTTCTGTGCATATCTAAGCCTGAGAAATGTAATCGCATCACTGACTGGCTGCCTTTGGGTGTCTGTGCCCCATGCATGGAATTTTCATATCACATAGTCTGTAGATGGTGATATGGCAACAAGAACTCTCTCCTCACCTTTTGCATTTCTCAGGGAATGGTTCCTGCTGTCTATCCTGGTGTTTAATTATAGGCATTTCCAAGTCATAGTATCACAGAATCATTTAGGTTGGAAAAGCCCTCTGAGATCAGTAAGTTCAAGAACTGCCCCCACATCCACAGGGCTTTGAAATTCCCCCAGGGATGGGGACTCCACCCTGCCCTGGGCAGTTCCAAGGCCTGACCCCCCTTCCCATGAGGAATTTCCCAGTGCCCACCCTGAGGCCGTTCCCTCTGCTCCTGTCCCTGTTCCCTGGAGCAGAGCCCGAGCCCCGGCTGTCCCCTCCTGGCAGGGTGCAGTGTGAGAACATCCCTACAGTGCTGGGCACGTTCTCTCTTGGAGAGAAAGCCCTGTGGTTACTGTCAGTGCTGCAGCTGAGCACGTAAGTCACCTGTTCTGATTGATCTTCCTTCCGTGGAAGGTTTCCTTTATCCCGTCTTTCAGTACACGCTGGAAGGTGGGGAGGGCTTTGGAGATGTTTTCTGTAACCCATCAGTGCAGTCCTGGAGAAGGAGGCTTCCACAGGCGCTCAGATTTTAATCTTGGCTTGTGTGCCTTGAAGTTGCTCATTCAGTGTGATAAGATCATATCTGTCAATACAGACTGTCATTATTGAAATAATAATAGTAATTATTGTTATTATTACTATTTTTTATTATATCTGCTTCCCTGCATTTTCCCCAGAAATTGATATATCCATTCATCCTTTTCCCCTCCTCTTTTGATGAAGAAAACCAATAGAGATTTGGAGAAATCAAGAAATGCCTGTAGCTCTGCAACAGCCTGCCTGCTCTACATTGTATCTTATTTTTGTAATTTGGAAAGGAAATAATAATCAATTTTCTCTGCTTCTTTCAAGGCTTTTCTTTTTGGGGGTTATCCTCTCACTTAAAATATCACCAGAGGTAGGCAATAGTGGCTTTTTAAATCTGATTAAATCTTTCAGCCTTACTGTCATTTAGGGAAGTCAGATAAGAAACTTTGAAACAACAATATAAATAATGAAAATAAGTGTGTCATTCCTCACTGGGTATCAGAAGCACTGAACTGTGCTGGATGATCTTTCTTCAGTGTATCTCTAATATACGAAGTTTTCATTTAACTTACCATTTCCTAGAGTTTTTCAGCTGCCAGTGTGTTATGAGCAAGAGCAATAAAATATTATTTTCTTTTTTTTTTCCCTTTCCTTTCCAGTTGTTTCCTGTCATTGCTCCTGGTGGCAGCTGTGGTTTGGAAGATTAAACAAAGTTGCTGGGCATCACGACGGAGAGAGGTAAGAAGGATAAAGTGTTGTTCCTTAAATAACTTTTTAATAGTCGTACTATCTAGATGCATATTTATTCACATATGCATCACATTAACCTTAAATTGAAGGCTAAGCTAATTCAGTTAATGCTGCTGTTTAGGCCTTTAGCGTATTTTTGATTACAGTTTCCGTGATAAATTATGTTATTTTAGTATCCTGATGCTGCAGTTTCTGTGAAGCACTAAAAAAATAGGGGTGAATCTTCTGTTTCTAGACAGCATAAGTACCAAACCACATAAATCAGGAGATTCTTTATATCTGTTTCAAAATAGAAAATAGAAACATTAGCTCTTGTGTAATACATTAAAAAAAGAAGTCAAATCCCCATTTTCCAATTAAATCTTATTCAAATATTTTGGGTGGTTGGTTTTTTTCCCCCTGGAATATTAGGAGCATAAGAAAAAGGTGGGGAAGCCACCCAGTAGCTTACTCCTTAAAAATGTGAATTTTAGAGCCAAAGTTTTTTTGTCTTCACCTCCCCATGGTCCAAATGAGCTTCACAACTTTTTGTGTTTGCATCACATAAATAACTTAGTGCTTTACAGCCCAAAATCTGGTTCCTCCTTGTTTATCCCTGGTTTATTTTTTTCACTACCTTCTTTTCTTGCTTCTCAGTGGAACCTGATTTCCTGTTGCACCCAAAGCACTCAGGGTGACCAAGGTGAGGTGGCCAATTGCTGTGGCACAAAGAGCATGTCCTCAGTCCTCAGTTTTCAGCACAAATGCTCACATACAGCAGTTGTGTTTGTAGGGCAGTCCTGGGTGCCACAAGCAGCTGCCCACACACCCATCTGGTTTTCTTGGTGTGCTAGGGCCATGGAACATGCGGCTATTACAGGCTGGGCTGGGCTGGGCTGCACTTAAAATTATTTTTAGGAGCTTTGTCATGTGTTAATCTGTTTATTTCTTTGCAAAACGAGAGAAGCCACACATCATTCAAATGTGCACTTTCTGTGTATAGTTATCTATGTGTCATCACCTGAGGCCAGATTCCCTAAGGAACGGCGTGTTTCTCCCTGCTTTGGGATTTTCAGGCGAGATTTGCCCATTCCTCTGGGTTTTCCTCCCAGCTGTCCTGCTGGGATGAAGCTCTAGGCAGCTGCAGACCCACCCGTGTCACTGTTGTATTCAAGAGTGGTTTGTTCCCGTGTAGGAGTTGATCAAGAGGATTGGGGGGATTAATTTTTACGGTGTTGGAATTCTTTGCAAGTCCCTGTTTCCTGCATATCTTCAGAAATCTGTAGCTGGTTGTACTTTGCAGTGCAGTGGTGTGAATAATATGAATTTATTCCATATGAGGAGCTCCTCTCTGGTAATAAAGCAGGATGATGTCTGATAACTCTTCTTCCTCTTTCTGCTTCAGATGTTTCTGCTCTTAGTGGTGAACTCACTGCAGAATATAATCATTGCTTTTCAAACAGATAACCCTTAATCTTGGAAATAATGGAAGTCTTTGAGGTTTTCCATATTCTCTGAAGGTAGATAAATTTTTACCAGGGCAGCTGGTTTTTTCCTGCTTGCTTTCTTGGCAAGAAACTAAGCTGGAGTCAGCATAACATCCCCTGTGGCTCCTGGGGTTAAATGTTATCTAGGAATGTATAAGGAACATAGACCAAGAAGTAAATACTGTGCTTTGGAGTTAAAGTATTTGAGTGGTGGCCTAAGTGAGAAATGTCTCTATAAATTAAGTTACAATCTGATACATGTTTTAAGAAAAAAAAAACCAAAAAAACAAAAAACCAGCCCTGGAGTACTGGCAATATATTGGCATGTTTCAGTCTAAATTCAATCTACATGTGTGGCTGTTTGACAGGCAGTTCATCAGGGTGGTGTTTTCCAGGCACATTCCTGTCTTTTACTGTTATTTGTCTTGCTCTCTTTTAATCTAGTGACTCTGTCTTGTTAATTCATGGATCTCTGCTGTTCCATTCATTTCCTGTTAAAACAGTTTAAAATCTTTGTTGTGCCATCATTACATATGTTAATACACTTTCTCCAGGAGCAAAAATCCACCCAAGAATTTGCTATCTAAGATGATTTTATAGCTTGAAGGTGGAGGTGTTTTTTACTGATTCTTGATAAACCCAAGCAAAGGTCTCTTTAGTATTTTAAATAATGATCAGTGGCCCTGGATCCCTGGCAGTGCCCAGGCCAGGCTGGACAGGGCTCGGAGCACCCTGGGATGGTGGAAGGTGTCCCGGCCCATGGCAGGGGTTAGAACTAGATCTTCAAGGTCCCTTCCAACCCAAAGTGTTCCATGATTCCACAAAATGCTGCAGCCCTGAAGGAGATCTTTGTCTGGTTTGGGCTGTGTTTTTTGCAGTAGTCAAGTTACAATCACCTGTTTCTCATGTCTGTAGTGACTCTGTAGTAACTTCCCATGTGTGTAGTAACTCTGTGCTTGCTCTCTGATTTTGGCCCAGAGGCCAGTAAGATATGATGCAATGTGCAGGTAATTCCCAGCTGTCCATCCCTTCTGCTTCCAGCAGGAACACTGCAAGTGCCAAAATCCTTATGCTGAGTGAAAAGCTGATGGCTGGGGTTTATTCTGAGATACCTGTAGGGCAGGAAGGGAGTGTGCTGACAGGTTTAGTGGTCAAAATTACACAGGCAGGATTGCTTGGGAAATGTGCTGGGAGAGGGCAGACAGCTGTGCTTGGTGTGGCTGGGGAATGGAACACAGCAGCATCATTTAGTTGAAACCAAGTTTGCTTTGCTCCTTACGGAGAAGGCAGCATGCTGCAAATCCAAAGTCTCCGTCAGGATCTTGCAGAACACACAAGATTCTCCTGACTTTTCTTTTCTGTAGTTCAGCTAAACCTCTGCCCAGCTGCTTGCAGGTGTCTGTGTCAGTGCTTCCCAACCTCCCGGCTGAAGGGTCTGTGCGGTGTGCAGACACAGTGTAGCAAATGTGGGCTTGTAGGAAAATGAGTTTGGAACACTGAGCTGAAGTTCAGGCCTTGCAAAGTGTAAAACTTGACCTGCAGTAAAAATGGGAATGATTTGTGTCATATCAGGCATTCAGGAGATGGAATTGTAAACTGTGTGTTTATTCCCTTGCCACTGAGCCCCATGTTTGAGTATCTTCAGACATCTTAAAAAGGGAAAATAGAAATAAAAAGGCAGCTTTTATAGGAGGCTTAGAATGAGGTGAATGACAGCAAGATATAGGGATAGGAAACCTCTCTGTCTTGTCTGTAGGAAATGACATGTTAAAGGAATCACAGTGGTAATAGAGAACAATGCACAAAGTATGAGCATGATGTTAGAATTTCAATATGCTCATCTGCTGTCAGGAATTTTCTGTCCTGTTGTTCTGTTTTTGCATCCAAGTCCTCCTCACCCTCAGTTTTCTTTGTTTCCTTCACTGGGAGCAAGGAATAGCTCCCTACCAGCAAAGGGACTGTGGCTGACCCAGGGTGGGGAGGGTCAGCTGGATCACTCCCTGTGCCTCTTTGGAATGTGGGGAGAGTATCAATAGCAAGCACCTACAGAGAAAACTAAATTTGGCTGCCTAGAGCTCCATTTCACCCTTAACAAAATGATCTGTATTTTGCCTCCTTTCTTGCCAAGGCTATATAAGACTGAATATTTTTACTCTGCAAGTTACCCATTTATTCAGGACGGGGTTTGTGTATTGATTTGCTGCAAGAATTATCCTTCTCTGTCTCGACCTCCTTGCTGGAATTTTTTTCCCTCCCAAGTGTATTCAGAACTTAGTCATGCTTCAGTTTCCACTGGCATCCTCTGCTGTAGCATCCATGCACACAGAATACCATGTAGGCAAGCAGATTCCTGTGGTTTTTACAGCAAAGATGTTCCAAGGGATCTGTGCTGTGTGTTATTTATTGCCCTGCCCTCCTTTTCTTCCCCTTCCTGCTCTCATCCCTTAGCATTTCATTCGTCTCTTAGATCTGCTCTCTTGGAATGTGATTAAGGGCATTCTTGGTCAAAGAAAAGCTTTAGATTTGGAATATTTTCATCTAACTGTAATTCATGATCTTCATCGTTTAGAGTCTTCAGTGGTGTTCTGGACCAGGATCTGCTCCAAAGGATTTGGTGTCAAGGTTATGCAGAAATACTAACAGGTCTGACAACAAATTTCTCTAGATTTGGGCAGGCCCAGGCGCTTTGGAGGGTTTACTGGTGCATTCTCCAAGCTCCCAGCAGTCATTTGCCACATAGATCTTCTTGTTACATAGCACTGACAGCACTATTTGGTGTCTGACAGCAAAAAGAAAATATTAAGCTTGGGTTTGGGGTGGTTTGTAGGGAAAACAAGAATTGGAGGAATGAGAAATCACAGCCAGCAGGTGACTGAGGAGGTCGAGTCATGTGGTAAGCACAATAATTTCTCTCATTACGGTGGGAAACATGAACCTGGATATCTTTTTTTTATGCAGTGAAGGTGGGTTTACTTCCCAGAATAGCTGTTCCCAGGACAATAGACTGAAGTAATGGTGGCTGTGGTGTTTTAAAAGCTGTATGTAAATTTCCATTTCCTGCATTTATGAGTAGTAAAATAAGACCTGAGTGTTACTATTAGGTGTAACCAGTTATTGGAGTACAGTGTCCACACTACTTTCAGCAATGTTTTGGGTGTTGCAGATGGTGGAGAACAACACTGCAAGGTTAATTTGTTATCTGGAAGGTAAGCAAGAGTTTAAAGCATCACAAATTCCTCATTTTCTCCAAGGAAAAACATATTGAGGTTTGGTGATGCAGAAAGAAATCATATGGGAAATGGAGTTGTAGAGAATTTTTAAAGTTTGATAGAAGGCTTATTAGAATCATAGAAGATTCATGATGGGATGAGGATCTTCTAAAGGTTCAGCCAAAAATTTAAACAGTGTGTCCCTGCCCATGGCAAGGAATTGGAGCTGGATGAACTTTAGGTCCTTTCCAAACCAAACCAGTCTGTAACACCCAATGTTTGCAACTGGGGGTAAAAAAGTCAACAACTGTTC